AATTAGTTTAATCAATATTGCCTCTAAACTTCTCGTCGATATCATACTCCGTCGATTGTCTGCCGCACGTGAACGGTGTACGCGTGAGAACCAGGCCGGTTTCAGACCTGTTCGAGGCTGTATTGACCACATCTTCACACTCCGTCAAATTCTAGAACCTAGACACTCCTTTCGTAGACCCACCATTTCTATCTTCCTCGATCAAAAAGCAGCTTTCGACTCAGTCGACCGTTCTATACGCTGACGCTGCCTTTCCCTGAAGGGAGTGCTCGAGAAGTTTATTTCCATTTAACAAATGCTCTACAATATAGGCCGAAGCAGAGTCTGAGCTTACGACACTTTTTGATCGGTGTTCGACAGAGTTGTCCTCTTTCTCCGTTTCTGTTTACCTTCGTGTCAGGTTTAATTCTTGAAACAGCCCTATCCTCATGCGAGGATAGTGGTATCGATTTACTCCCAGATGGCAGACTGTCTGTTGCACTTGAGCACCGAAATCTGAAAAACACTGGTATCCCGATTATTCTGTCGTTGAATTTCTGCTCAATTATTTCTAATCGATCGGACATCAGTCCTCTGATTCACTACGGAGAGTATGCCAAAAGTTGTGTTACTTTTTCCAAGAATCCGTTGAGGACGAATCGGTTCAGATCGAACGCTTCCAATGAGTTCGTGCAGATAGGCCACCAGGAAGGAAAACCAACGGTGATGGCGTCATCATATATGTGCGCCGGTGGTGGTGTAACTGCACCAAATGCATATTCACTCACTGCACACAAAAGATTTCTTGTATTTCTGTGTAATATAAACCGCGTTTTCTCTTGCGTCACACTTCGATCAGCGTTTCAAACCTATACATCACTCCTGACTGTAATCCTAGTGAGTTGTCTACCTTCCTGGATATATTCTATCCAATCGTGTTGGAGAACTCTGTCACATCTGTATTCATCGTTGTTTGCAATTTCAACAGTTCGGAAGCGAGGTTTTACACTTTTATGTCCCTTCTGAACATTGTTTTTTTCACTCGAAACGATACCTCCTTGAACCACTTTTTCGTTAGCGAACCATCTTTTTTCGTGTCTTCAAACGTGCACCAGTAAGCAATTGCAATCATTGTCTAACTGAAATCTTACCTACAATATATATGGTAAATTCAAGCAACAAATCCTCACGAAGAACAATCCATGTAAAATATATATACGACAAAATCATCTAGCCCATTGGATGGAATTAGAATCCATAGTTAGCGGAAACATTGAAGTTGCAAGAGATGTATCAAGTGGTTTGAAAATACGGACATATCTTTCAAAACCTTCTCCAATCAACATATGGTGCAGCATGCGACCACTACACCTAAATTGCTGATTAAGCTGCGCAACATCAATATTTGCAAAAAAATAAAATATTTGAACATTCGTTGACCTCCGATAGTTTGTTATTTGACTTGCTTACAACGGTATGACTAGATTTTGTGCATCCAGGCTAAAAGACTACTGATCGTTGCTCAGGCATTATTGATTTTGGCTAAAAAAAATATCAGTCAAGGCTGAAGGCTTGCGGGTTTTGGTTGAAGCTTGATGGGAGAGGGTGTAGTTTTTGGTACCCATTTTTTCTGAGTAATCCACTTCACGCACAGGCGTTTTGCCGTCTAAGTAGCGCCATGAATGCACTTAAACGAATAAATCAACATTGATACGGCCAACTTTCGTAGATTTTGCTTGTATTCGTATGATCGGTTTGATCGCGAACACGCGATTTACTTGAACTTGAAGTGAGATGGAATAACTGTTCTCAGCGTATTGATTAGTCAATTAGCCACCAAAACCCGAACACAATCTGATCGTTTGTCAGCGTCAGGGTACTTCTATTGCTGCTCCTCTCATTTTCCAAAATTTGATTTGCTTTGTGCGAGAAAATTTCTGGTGATCTAATGTTTTTTTTTCTGTACCTCTTCCGAATTCATCAGGACCATTCCCGACCGGTTCGGCCCGATCCAGACTCGGCGCTCTGACAAATTCTCCAGGCCTGTGCGTTTTTGATGGAACTCCAGGTGATCGGCTGCGTTTCCTCAGTCTTTGGAACGATGCTGAACTGACCCAAGTAGATCTCAAATTGCTCACTTCACTGCAAAAGCAGCTTCCCAAACTGTGCACGGATTTGGAGAGTCACACTGCGTAGGTGTCTGATACCGATGTCATTGCCACCCATGGGTGGATTATCGGAGTCTGAATAATTTATGGTCTGATGTGTGTGTGTGTGTGTGTGTGTGTGTGTGTGTGCGGAATTTTTGATCATACTAGTCTGATTTTCAAAATTCAAAGTTTTATTATTTCGGAGAAATTTACAAATAGAAACTGATAACAATATGCATGATCACTCACAAATGTCGAAATCGTAAGTGTTCCAGTGCTTTATCAACCTGTGATTTGAATAATTCAACTGTAGGAGCACACAGCATAGGACTAAAGAGAATTCCATACATCGCATACGCTGACTGCAAACGAGTAATGCCGACACTGTAGATGGCAGTTCTGAGTCCTCAACTTCAGTGAATGTTTCCTGAGATGAGTGTGTATTGAGATAAAGTCAACACAGAACAGCAGTATGCAGTATACGGTATATATTGCGTGTGTGAGAACAATGTTATTTCGAACTACCCGAAATCACATTTAAGTAGTTCAGATTGCTTTAGAGCCATGGATGATGCCCTGGCACAGTGTATGGAATATCCTATGTTCTGCTGTATCATATCTCCCAAATCCCCTTTTCATCTGTGGCATGCACTAGTATTTGGTTCCCCCAGAGCATAGAAAAAATGAGTCTTGAGCCTCATGGAAACAGCCTTGCATTTCGAAGCGTTAAATTCAATATCATTAGCGAATGGCCATCGGTGGACTGTTTTGATCGTTTTTTGGTGCCAAATAATCCTCTGAATGTGTTACTGTTCTCCAGATTTTAGCGTTGTTTGGGTATGGTAGTGTGTGGCCCAAGGAAATGTGGTAGGTCATTTATAAATGCATGAAGAAGATGGATCCATCACATATCCGTTTTCGGACTTTGCTGGGATCCTGTATTATGTGGTAGTTCTATTTCGCCTGTTCGCCGAACTTGGCAATTTGTTTGCAAACGTTTCATCATCAGCCGAGGTGGCACCATCAGTGCTTGTGATGATGATGTCACCTCGGCTCGGCGAACAGGTGAAATAGAATTCAGTTCACCCGAGCTACGAGAACCAATTTTCAATACTTTGTCAACATTATGTGGTAGTCTTAAACGTGATTCCGAAGAACCCATTTTCCTGTTCTCCTTCCACGACTGCAATACAAGGTTAGCCATTTCTGGCGTTCCAGGGGTCACTTTCATTATCCTCGGGCCGTTCCCGTGGTAGTTTGGTGGGTTGGGTAGACGACTGATTACCGTAGTAAGAACCTGCGTACCATTAATTAGTTCCCGAACGAAACTCCATTCTTTGCAATCGTTTTGTTCGCATAGGGATTCATCTGGATCGTCCAGTTGAGGGAAACCATGAATTAGAACAACCCGTTTGTTCTTTGATTGTCGTACACTTGTTGGGTTGGTGCAATATTGTGTCTGTCAGGGCCTATCTAGAAGTATTCTTGATCTACCCGAAACTTTCTTGAGATCACAACTAGAGAGAAGAACGTTTTCCAGGTCCTCGTCTGCAAATGTTACGCGAGTCAATCGTGGCTCTCCAGCCTGCGGCGACGATGGATGACGAAACAGCTGCACAATTCCAGCTGGGTGAACGTCCATGCCAATTTGATTACATCAATCAGTCCAGCGATCAAGCTCCTCTGCCTGTTTCTCCCTCAGTTTATTTGTTGTGGGCTCTGGCACGTTGGCGCAAATAATTGTCATTTCGGGGTTGTAATTTGCCTTCTTTATCTTCGGCACTGGATTGTGCTCCTGAATGATCTGAGTTTTAGGCTCAATAATTTGTGCCGACTCTTGATCTCCGGCATTATCCTGTACTGACATTACCTCGCCGTCGAGTTGGAGACTGGGTATTGACAACGCTGTGGTGGGGCTCTTTAGAAAGCAACTCTGTTGTCGTTCGGTTCAATGCCATGCCCAAACTACCTTATATGGTTCGTCACCCAAGTTCCGGGGCTTAGGATGCCGCGTGTCCGCCACCGAACGGCAGATCTACGCGATTACGGAGTCCACCCCGTCTGCCATTTATCACACAAGGGTGTGCAGCTAAGAAAAACCGAACAGCTGAAGTGACGAGATTCTCCAACTTTGTAATGGAAACAATTTATGACCCTGTCCTGTCCTCTTTCGAGGGTTGCGAAGTCCGAAGTGGTGTGATCTGCGGTATGCACGCAGGAACAATGGTGTAAACCATTTGTAACACTTTTTTTGTGCGAATACATGTGCCCGAGCACGCACATCGGTTTCTTCTTTTGAGTAAACGTCGATACTTTTATTCCATCGCATTCATTGTTCGTGCATTCTGTTTTTGTTGCACTTCAGACACCGTGCATCCAAATTTCGTGAACTATACGGTCTTGTCTGTGGCTCCAGTCCAGTTGCGTTGAAGGATTTTGGGGGCAGCGTAGTGTGAACACTAGATCGTTCGTCTGTCAGTCCCCTCCCTCAAAGATCTGTGCACGTTTGCTCTCTATTTCAATATACATCCTGATTTCTCGAAGTTGTTGTTCTCTTGCTTAGCGTCTGCAATGTTCATGGCATG